GGCCAATTTTGTGCTTTTTTAATAAGCCGTATTCTATAAATATTCATTAACACAGTGCCTCTCAAAAAGGATTTAATTAAGGTGACTCTTTCAGCTCATTAATATTCATAGTACTTTTTACCACAAGAGGGCGCACTTAAATGGCGCAAATCTTGCGCATGCGCACAACTGCTTTTCTGTGCCGAAACAGCGCGCGGTGGGGCCGGCCGGGGACGAGTGGCACTCGGAGTGAACATGGCGGCGTCCGTGAGAATACATGTACGTGTGTTTGCCGTGTTTGCGACAAATCAGGAGAAATTGACAACAGGCAAATTAGAAGTCAGCACCCTGAAAATGACCAAGAGCACACATGTTGCCTCTGGAAAGAGAGAACGGACCTGTGGTTCTAGCATTGGTAGGATTCCCGGTCCACGGTCTATATGGCACGATGTGGGACGGTGAATGACGTAGTGTTTTCTTTCACAACGAGGATGAGTTGGCGGTTCCGTCTACATCGTAGGAAAAGGAGATGCAAAAACGCATCTTGGACTTCAGGTAGGTAGTTTAGTCAAACATGTTTACGGAAATACACGTAGGTACGTGGCCTCGCACTCGCAGTAAATTTTTGTTCTGAATTAAATTACAGAAAAATGCAACTTTAGGCAGATAACGTACGGTATTTAAAATAGTATTTCATTTGTTTGGTGCGTTGGTATCTCAATTTTAGATAAATGAACTTTCGAGGGAACGACATCAGTTTCTGATCTGATTTTAGTTTGAATGATGTGCTATGCATACTGTCATAACTCAGACAGATACAACTTTTTTTGCATAAACACACTGCAATGTCCCATTACTAAAAGCTGTTGGAGATAAATCTCGTGAAGTCACAAATTTTTGTTGTGGCCCAAAGTCATCTCAGATTGGAATCAAATTTTCTTCTTCCAACTAAAGCCTGTTGTTCAAGTTCGTGTAGGCTCGGTGGCAAATGCTATGTTCAATAGTCTTATATTTCCATAGTCTTGGCCCAAGATGTCAGTGATGGATAGTTGTTTTATTTCTGTTGAAGAGCGCCCTTGCACACCTAGATTTTACTTACTCTCACTAACGTCTTGGGAATCTTGCAGGAATGGGGGTGTGGCAGTTGTATGCAAATGTCCGATCTTCTTAAATATTTATAGCCTTGGTATTATAATTATGTATACATACTTCGAAGTTCGAACAACATGGCGGCTTCACGCGAGCAAGTACAATGTCTGGTTTGTGGGAAGGGATTAGTGACATGTAAGACATATTTTTCACTCCATACTAGACATGAAATTGCCACTCTTCTAGTTGTGCTGCATCGCATCGCGTTTGCAAAATCGTTGTCTGATACCACACAATAAATGCATTCTCGTTTTTTGCAACTCACAATGAGCATGCTGCCTGAGGCCAAATTACTCACACAAGCGGCAAATAAACCTTCACGTGCAGCAAGAAAATGACAACCAACGTCCTCGAAGGTTAAGGTCTATATGGTCTCTATGGTCGCTTTAGTAAGCTGGGGAGGGCATACTGACTGTACATGATTATGGGTCATCAAGAACAGCATCCTCTGTCATATCCTAGGCCTAACCTAGTCCGAGTATCACCCGTTCTACTCCGTGCTAACTCTATACGAACATCTATGTTGTCGTGTCTGTGTTGACAGGACTGCAGACAGCCATGATGCATGTGACCATACCATGGTGTATTATTGAGGTCATCAAAATTTATTATGCATGCAAATTAGCGAGTGCTGATTGGTTCCTTTGGAAAGCCATGGGAAAAATAAAGAACAAGTTAAAACACTGCTGCAAGATTCCCAAGACGTTAGTGCGAGCTGGCGCACAGTCTAATTATGAGTCGTTAGGGGGCGCGCACTATGCACGGTGTCCGCTATCAAGCACTAACGTCTTGAAACAAAGACTAATATTTCCACAGATTTTATGTTTGTTTCTCATATTTTCTACTTATTGTCATTTTTTGCACCCTGAGCAAAACTCCTTAAGGCTGAACTGAAGAAAAACAAAGCACTGGGGTGATATCAGCAAAAATGTCGAGGGGGGTGGCAGATTCTGCTTACACCCCCTGCCATTTTAGGGTTGGACTAAATCGACTGCAGAAATTTCAGCCAGCCAATGAAATTGTTCAGGTATTAACCAACAGACTGCTTCATGATTGCCCATGAGCATGCAATCAATATGGCACCCACGATGTATGGGTCCCTTGTTTCAACTGCCCTTTTTTAAAACTTCCCTGCAGATTTGAACACAAAAAAGTTATCAACCGATAAAATGAGGTTTGCAGATCAATCGATTATAAATCGTTTTTGAATTGTTGAGAAGTTCCACCTGCCCTTTTGCATGATTGATTTTACTTAAAGCTATCTTGGACAATAAACCCTGCACCTTTTGGCGATTGGTTTTAATATCATCTCTCCATTTTCACAGGTACCAATGCAGAGACGTTCTGTATTTACAAGAAGTTGGGAAGAAGTGCCGGTAACTCAGTGTTCCTTGGAGTGCCGGCTGTCCCAAGAATTCAGGACTTGATGTCCTGTACATTTAAGTTCAGGTATGAATGAGTTACACATTAAGTCCACTATATCTTCAACAAAGTGGCTAACAATATAATACAACCTTATATGCTTGTCCACCCAACGACTTGCCATGTATGCTGTGGATGGGGGAGGAATTGTGGAGAAGGGTCGTTCCATGCGACAGTTGATAGCTTCAGAACCAGAAAACCCCGTATACATAACGCCAAGGAGGTCAAGACCTCAGTTTGTTCAAGTTAGGTTTGCAATTATAACATGTGTAAGGTACAATGTGTCTCTTAGTGAGTTTTGGTTCGAAGTAGAACCGGTGAAATGGCACAGTTACTGTTTGTGCCATGTATCCTGCACAGGAAAAGCTTCGCTCCACTAAGTTGCGAAGTAATATCTGTGAGGATGATGATGATGATGATGATGATGATGATGGAGTTTCTTCTTATCTTGGTGATTAGAACTGGACCATTAATACCAGTTGGAACACTTTCCGTGGAACCCCTTTGAGTTTTTCTTGGAGTGATGAAGCTCTACACTTGGTTAATAGGCAAAGGTGTGTTTTTCAGAAGTGTAGACTTCACTTTGGCACACTTGCTTTGTAACTCTGTAGTGATGATGCTTCAATCCGTATACTCACATTTACATCTAGGGTGCTTTCAAAATCCCTGAAGAGCCCTTGATGAAATGGTGAAGCTCACAAGAATTTCACGTTTGTCCACCCCCAGATCTCAGGCGTGTCCTCATTGTGGCTTTGTCATCAATGGGGTTATCTAAGGGCACCTAAACTCTCTTGGCCTCACGTACCCGTGGTTGATGGGTTGCGCTGGAAACAGTCCCCTGCGGATACTGGCCTGACCTGCATGATCGGAATGCCTGCTCATCGAGTCGTATTGCAGGTGGATCTAATATTTGAGATTTTTACCACTGGATTCTTATTGCTACACAGGGCCCAATATATACTGTACATTATTTTCATTTATGTGCATGCAAGTGTGCCCCCCACTTTCCAGGGGAGCCAATCAACAGCTTTGTTCGAGCCTTAAATTGAATTATTCAATGAATAGAATTGAATCCAAAAATAGTGTCCTGATTTTGAAGGCCTAAATTTTCCGCGTAAAATGCCGCGTTTAGGTGGTTGTAACGTGTCTTCAAGGCACGCTAATAGATTGTTACAACTGTTCATCTGTTCATCATTCATTCTGTAAATTTCCAGTATGGGGGAGAATGGGCCAAAATCGTGGTACTATAAGCGAGCAGACAGACATCACAATACATCCAGCGTGACCGTACCGCGTGCGAAAATATGCGACACGGCAAAAATTGAAAATGACTCAAATCTGTGCACATCGCAAGTTTTTGGCTACTGCCCCAGATTACAGAAGAATATTTGTGAGTGTTTAGGCCTAACTCGGAGCGTCTTTACAAAGAAAGTTAAACATGATGTTGGTTAAAACAATGATACCATCAACCCAAAAGCTGTTCTACCGTGTAGGGAAAATTTGGATATGATCATTTTATGTTTTATGTTGAACATAGAATGCTTTAACTTTTATGCCCAAAGTACATTGGAATGGCACTTATTCCAAATCAAGAACTTCACTTATCTACATGTACTCTGCATTCCTGAACTTACTGTAATTCAACAATTTGTTTGCCAACAGGTGTTACAGAGGTTTTTGCGGTCGTCTTAACCCACTCCTTCAACTACCAAGATGCTTGTCAAGACACTATACAAACCCTGTTGGGTGCTACTGAGCTGGATCACATCCTGTGCTTCGATGAGAGTGAGCTGCATTCTTACGTTAACTTATGAGGAAGTGACAAGGCACGTTATTCAACCTAATGATGGATAACTACCTCTGGTCTGAGATGGAAGAGACAATGTATGCTGCTCTTTCTAATGCTGTATTCCCATTGAATTCCTTATCTTTTGTCTTTGCTGTACCCAAATACTTTTTTCATGGGCCACTTTACATGTACCTCTGGTCTGTGAAAAGAGTTAGACAGACACAACATGACTTGAAACATGAATATGTAACCAGCTTACGTTATATTGCATAACATTCAGTTTATGCACAGCCTTCACATGAAAATTACTCACACATTATTTGAGAGTTTCTGTATAAGTCTACAAAGACGTGTTGAACTAAGTAACTTTAGAATTGCAAAATTTGTAAAAATTGTAATGTGCGTTTCCTGGAAATCTTTTACAGTTAATTTCTTTCACATTCGATGGAGTGATATTTCATTATTAAATGCTGAATTTAGTTTGGATTTTGCACCACTTGATTTTATTTTGTTTGTGTATTTTCATCATCTTTCAATCCGTTTTGTACTTCATGCATCTTGGTTGGTATGACAAAAGATGATTCTGCTCATTTTCAAGAGCACAATTGATGGTCAGCTACCGGTACATGAGATGAAATCAATACTAAGAATGAATTACAGTGTGCTGCAAGCAAAATGAAATGTAGTGGTGAAACTTTGAAATCAAATTCCACCATTGATCCCAGCGAAATTCTAAGGATGAAATTTAAATGTTCTTTCAATGAAGTTGGGGCATGATTTGCGACATTTTGACAAGGATGTATTTGTTATTTTTGAACGTAAGGGGTCCTTTTCAATTGTCTTGTATAAATGTATCTTAGGTTGTACCTCTTCTTGGTCTTTAGAATACCTGTAAAGTTGAGAAAATTTGGTTGCAAGTGTAACAAGGGCGTAACACCATTTCCATCAGTTATGGTGATACACGTGTAATTATATGATGAAAAACATATGTGCATCAGATTCTCCCATACAGATAGCCTGGAGTACAGCACATGACAACTTCTAACAACTATGGAAAAATTTAATGGGGATTCTCAGTAATTTTTAAAAAGTCCATTAAAAATCTCGTGCAGATTCAATGGACAGATTTCTTGGAATAGCCCCGAGACTTTCCGATAAGTTTCCTAGGCAGAAGTTTGGAGTAGCTGTGCTCTCGGCTATTTATTTGTGTTTGAAATAGTTGCTACAAATATAAATGTTTTTCAAACCATTAAACTGTAACTAGTTGCATCTGCGATGTAACAACTGTAAGAAAAATGTAAAAATGATCTGAAACACTATAACAGAATTACACTTACACTATGCATAACAATTCAGTTACTACGAGGGCATCCTTGTCTACGAATATGTTAAAATGTTACAAAACATTAGAACCAGCAAAATTTGTAGGATGAAATTGGAATTGGTCTTTTCGTGAGGCTTGGCCATATTTTTACATTTTGACAAAGTAGTTTAGGAAGAGGGGTCCTTCAGAATTGTTTTAAAAATGTATAGTAAATTGTAACTCTTAATTTAAATATTGTAGAACACGTAAGTTATTCAGTACAACACCGTTAAGGAACTGTGATTGCAATTATGGTAATTATGGTAATAATTACAATGATGTGATAACATTTCTTTGCACTAGTTCCCACCTTCCAAAGAGTACAACACAAGATTCATTCCATCGACATACTTCTTAAAATAGCTCTGAAACTACAATAAGTTTCCTTAGTACTGGTTTAGAATAGCTCTGTTCTGGGCTGTTAATTTTGGGGAGAAACTGGTGCTAAAATGTAAATGTATTGCTAAACATGACTTAATTTGCTAGTACTCTGTAACATCTGCAGTACGTTTTTCTTAAAGTTTAATATGAAAGTGGTGTGAAACATTCCTTACAACGAGTTACACCAATACAATGCATACAAAAGTTTTACTGCGAGAAAAAAAATCCCATTTAAGAATGTGTAAAGAGTAACCATGTTATTTGTAGTACAAAACAAGGTTCCAATAAACTCGAAATATGTATGTTGGATGTGCTGTCTTTGTGCTATAGTGCATGCGTTTTATATACTGAAACAGGGAGGGAAATATCAGAAAATCTTCTTTCCCCTGGGTCCGATTTGGGTCCGATTTGGGTCCGATTTGGGTCCGATTTGGGTCCGATTTGGGTCCGATTTGGGTCCGATTTGGGTCCGATTTGGGTCCGATTTGGG